TGTTCTTCCATCTTGTGGACATGAGCATGCTGAACTGTTTCAACATGTACCTTGTGAGAACTGGACGTAAGCCCACTTTCCGTGACTTTGTATTTGATGCTGCAATACAGTTATTAGGAAAGTTTGCAAAAGATGTCCCAGGTATTCAGCGGCCCATCATAAACCCACTGTTGCAGCATGCTGGTACTCCACGCCTCGCTCACACTGAAGGCTTCCTAGCACACAAACTTAAGTATTTGCCACCTGGTGTGAAGCGTGCAATAGCCCAACGTGATTGCTTGGTGTGTAAAACAACGACACGTAGAGACAAGAAACGGAAGCTTGTGCAAACATGGTGTGAAACGTGTGGTATCCCATTATGTGCTGTCGACTGCTTCAATGACTACCACAGTCTAGAAATCTTCTAAGTGTGCTTCAAAGTGTGTATAGCGTGTGCGAGTGTGTAAATATGTAAACATATAAGCAGAACATATAATATAATAGACTGTAATGACATATTATATTGCCGTAATTGAAAACATTTGTGTGCGCCTGTGTATACTCAAATATGCAACAATTATTGATACAAAATATGTTCAAACAGTATTTGAAACACAATTAGTGAAAAAAAATTAGATAAAATGCGCTTAGACATTGTAAATAAATAGCGCGAAAATATATTTGTGGCAACTCTGGCTGTTTGAGGACCGCGCTTTATCTCCCGGGCGTGTACTGCATGAGCGACCATGCAGATTGTGACGTCATCGCAGAGCTTCTCGGCTCTATTGCAACAAAAGTAAGTACAATAGAATTTTTTTTTTATTTTTCCCGTGATCAGTGAACAGAACTTAACAGATTAGCAAAAAAAAAAAATTTTTTTTTTTTTCAAAATGACATGCGCCTGTGTGGATAGCAGGATATTAGACCCCGAGCATGTTAAGGGTTAACCCTTAACATGCTCGGGGTCTAATATCCTGCCATCCGCACAGGTGCATGTCATTTTGAAAAAAAAAAAAATTTTTTTTTTTTGCTAATCTGTTAAGTTCTGTTCACTGATCACGGGAAAAATAAAAAAAAAATTCTATTGTACTTACTTTTGTTGCAATAGAGCCGAGAAGCTCTGTGATGACGTCACAATCTGCATGTTCGCTCATGCAGTACACGCCCGGGAGGTGTTGCGCGCGGTCCTCAAACAGCCAGAGTTGCCACAAATATATTTTCGCGCTATTTATTTACAATGTCTAAGCGCATTTTATCTAATTTTTTTTCACTAATTGTGTTTCAAATACTGTTTGAACATATTTTGTATCAATAATTGTTGCATATTTGAGTATACACAGGCGCACACAAATGTTTTCAATTACGGCAATATAATATGTCATTACAGTCTATTATATTGTATGTTCTGCTTATATTTGTATATATTTACACACACGCACATGCTATCTGCTTATATGTTTACATATTTACACACTCGCACACGCTATACACACTTTGAAGCACACTTAGAAGATTTCTAGACTGTGGTAGTCATTGAAGCAGTCGACAGCACATAATGGGATACCACACGTTTCACACCATGTTTGCACAAGCTTCCGTTTCTTGTCTCTACGTGTCGTTGTTTTACACACCAAGCAATCACGTTGGGCTATTGCACGCTTCACACCAGGTGGCAAATACTTAAGTTTGTGTGCTAGGAAGCCTTCAGTGTGAGCGAGGCGTGGAGTACCAGCATGCTGCAACAGTGGGTTTATGATGGGCCGCTGAATACCTGGGACATCTTTTGCAAACTTTCCTAATAACTGTATTGCAGCATCAAATACAAAGTCACGGAAAGTGGGCTTACGTCCAGTTCTCACAAGGTACATGTTGAAACAGTTCAGCATGCTCATGTCCACAAGATGGAAGAACACTTTTTTCGTCCACCTACATGTCTTCCGCACACTCTCTGCAGTGCCAATCATCATGTCTGATTTATCAATCAACCGCATGTTGATATTATAGTCTAAAACACAGTCTGGCTTATATAGTGGTGCGTTTGTTTTATGGCTCACTTTCCCACTGTTCACCATTGTTCCATCATGAATTGTTGTCAACAAGTTCACCTCTCTTTTGTCTTTCCACCGAACTGACAGAATGTTATCACTTTTCCTTCTCTGACACTCACCAACTGCAATGTCGTTGTCAAACACAGGCATTTCCCTTCGTTGTGGCTTTACTGTACCAACCAATCCGGTTCTATTTTCTAGCAAGAACCGAGCTAGCAAGGGACTTGTATAGTAATTATCTGTGTATAAAATGTGTCCCTTGTTCATCCACGGAGCCATGATGGTCTTCACTACACTCCCCGAGAATCCATGTTCGTCGTTACCGGGAATGTCTACATCACTAGCCGAGTACAGAATCATGTGTAACATGTATCCTGTCTCACAATCACAAAGAACAACAAATTTCAGGCCAAATCGGTTTCGTTTTGAGGGAATGTACTGTTTGAATGGAACACGTCCCTTGAAAAGAATGAGAGATTCATCAACCACCAGCTTCTGTGCTGGTACGTAAAAATCTCTGAATTTTCCAATAACATCGTTCATGTAGTGCCTCACTCGCCACAGTCTATCATCAGGTGTTCGGTCCTGAACACTTCCAAAATGTAGACACCTGAGGAGTATCTGAAACCTGTCTCGTGACATATATTTCCCGAATAAAGGTGTTGGTATTGTCTTGTCCTTGCTCCAATAGTCATTTATTGCATGTTTGTGACAGTGCTTCATCAACAAACAGAGTGCCAAAAACACATACATTTCCGTCACTGTGGTATTTTTCCAACGCTGCAGTCGTGAAAATTCTGTGATTTCCCTCTCAATCAGGTAAGCAGCATGCAGGTTCGTTTGGTGTACAATGTATTCCATGAGTGGTTCATCATAGAATGCTGTAAAATATTCCATCTCAGCCATGTCCTCACCTTGATTAGGGAAAAGGTTTGTAATCCCTACATCTTTATCGTCAAAGTGAGGAATATTAGGAATAAAATCGTCACCATCACTCCACTCAAGTATACCAGGCGTCCTGCAAGATGCAGAGGAAAGACGGCGAGGAAGCGATGCATACCGGCGACCAGGAGCTGAATACCGTCTGCGAGAAGCACGGCGGCTACGTGCACGTGAGGTGGGTGCACGTGAGGTGGGTGCACGTGAGGTGGATGCACGTGAACACGAGGGTCTTGGTCCCTCATGTGGTGCCATGCGGTGGCGCTTGGCCGGGTGAGATGCTGCTGACGCGACAATTTCTCGCCCAGTTACACCACTGGTACCAGCCACAGGCTCAATAAAACTTTGATCTGAGTCACTAAACCCAGAAAAGGAGTCACCTCCCTCTGACTCGTCACCCTCAAACAGAAAATATCCACAGGAACTGTGAGGTCGTGGTAGAATTGGGGTAGAAACTGGGCGAGGAGGCATGGGAGAGCGTATAGGCCTCGCCATGGCATGGCGGTCATTCTCACTTTCACTGCTGCTGCTACTATCACCCGACAACTGTGTATAATCCTCATCGTTGTCTGAATCGTCAAACACACTTTCTTCACCTTCAGAGAATAATTCGTGGGCTATTTGCTCTGGGGTGAGGGACTGAGTGGTGCGTGCCCGTGAGGCGTTTGACCGTGCGCTCGCCATGGTGACTCTCGCTAAACTGAGGCCTCCCATGCCTTCGGATCGTGAGCGGGATTTTTTTTCAAAATGGCCGCTGTTTACTAGAGCCCCTGGGCAGCGTATGGGACCCCCAGCTACACCGCGGGCCATTCAAATCGTGCGCGGTACCCATAATCTTCATATGAAGTGAAGCGCAGTTGACTGGTAAAACGATTTACACTTCATATGAAGTGATGCGCACTTTAAGGGTTAATAATTGCACTATGAAGTTTTCACCAAAAACAGGTGCATAGTACAGGGGTTAAGGCGGTGTTTTTGGTGGCTCTTACCACCAGTTGTTAGACTTCATGCTCTTCTCCAGAGGTAGGGGTTCGGCTCTTTTGGCCCTCGTAGGCATTTTCATCGTTTGCAACCGTCTCCTCCTTTTCTGGTAAAGAATGAGTGGGCAGGCTTCCAGAGGGGTCCTTTGGTTATTGATTGTTGGTTGATTCAGCCAGGGTGCATCATCTGCCGAGTCCAATTGCAACAATTTGTCGCTACCTCATGCCATTACCTCAGCTTCGGTGGAGGCTCTTGGGGTTGATCCAGTCTCCTTGATACCGTATTCCAAAGGTTTGTGTCTGCCTAGTTGTTCGGTATCATCAACTTACAGTCTGCCCTCAGTCCTATGATGTTTGCAAATATTCTTCGCTTACACCTGCCATTTCTAATATATCTTGGATGGATATTCGGGTTTGGGGGTTTTGGCGGACTAACTGGGTCATGGTGGCCAAGTATTTAATCAATGTTCCTGGACTTCTTTGGTTTTGTGTTGCCCCGGGTTGTGATTCCTGGCTGTTGGTCTCTAATTCGCCTTGGTGCCTCTCCTCCTTTTTGGTAAGTCTCTCTAATTTTTCTCCATGGTTATTTAGTTACAAGGAACCATCAATGGACTCCCCCCAGAAATCCAGCACTGATTGTAATGAAATGCCTCATTATGGATGGTGGCTCGAGTCTGATTTGCCACAGTGTTCTATTCCTAACAGTCCGGAATGCTACTGATCATGGTAAGTGAACAGGTCATAACAGCCTGGTAGATGAAATGTGCCACTGTGGATCTAAAGAGGCCACTGACTCAAGGAACCAACTGGGTGTCTGTCTCAGAAAACTGAACTTTTAAGTCAGAAAATATATTCAGATAAACAGCACAAACATGGATAAATAAATAAATAAATGCCCCAAAACTTCAAGCATAAACAAATTCTACACAGCCAAAATATAATTTAGTGACTGATAAAATTAGATACTGTACATTTTCTGTACGATATTTTTCATACAGACCATAAAGACCATAATACTGTAATCTAATACTCATCTATTAATGCAGATAATTACTTAATGGAGATTGTATGGGAGCAGGTGTGAGTAGTAGATCATCTGCAGATGTTGCACTCTGATAAAGACGATTCCCAATTTCACCTTCCATATCATAGCCAGCCTGAGGAGAGTAATAAGCTACATTTGCAATATGTATAGTAGACTAAAACTGCAACTGTAATCTAAAAAGAAGACAGTTTGATAACCTTTATGCACTTTTCTGAACCTTATATACAGTAACTCATTGTTTTCAATAAAATTTACAGGCATGTCAACAATCCATTACTAATGGTTGATGTCTTTTCTGGGAAGAGTACCATGGTGACCCTCTGAAGCTATCTCGGTGAGATAGTTTCTTACCACAAAGTCACATTAGTTATAGGAATCCTGTTGGCCTACCACAGACCAGAGCCAGAACTTTGTCCCTTCAAAGAGAAACAGGGAGAACAACACCAAGCAACACAGGGCCTCCTGGTTGCTGATCTAATCAACCAGGGCATTCAATGTCTCAAAGCTCTCTGAATGTACTTGCTAGAAAGACAACGGGAGAGATAACAAATAATATACACATGGAAGATAATGGAGGGCCAGGTCCCTAATCTGCACAGTAAAATAAAAACATACTGGAGTGAACGATATGGAAGAAAATGCAGAATAGAACCAGTGAAGAGCAGGGGTGCCATAGGCACAATTAGAGAGAACTGTATAAACATCCGAGGTCCACGGTTGTTCAACATACTCCCAGTGAGCATAAGAAATATTGCCGCAACAACAGTGGACATCTTCAAGAGGTAATTAGATAGTTTCCTCCAAGGAGTGCCGGACCAACTGGGCTGCGGTGGGTATGTGGGCCTGCAGGCCGCTGCAAGCAACAGCCAAGTGGACCAAACTTTCACAAGCCGTCAAGCTTGACCTCGGGCCGGGCTCAGGGAGTAGAAGAACTCCAAGAACCCCATCAATCAGGTATCAACCTGGTAATGAAGTTGCCAGCAGCCTAACAAATGAGTCACAGCTTCACTGATCAGATGTCCTTTGATGGTGCTTGTCGGGTTCTCTTTTGATCACTGCGAGAGGTTGGTTAGTTATGCCCTGTATGTGGAGTGGAAAGAGTGATGAAAAGTCTTGGGCCTTTAATCCCAAATCCAAAGACCATAGGGCTGGTCAGTGAGGGGAAGAAGGATGGAGTGAGGATGCAGGAAAACTTGAAAAGAGTTAGGGATAGGAGGTGTAGGAGGGGGATCACAGGTGAGTGGCCCAACCACTCTGGGTTTTTTAGTGATAGAGGTGATACTGTAGTGTGGGCTTGGGGTGATGTGATGTGATGATTTATGTGGTACTCGCTTTTTTTTTTATAAGGGATCTGACACTAGTGATGGGGGTTGGGGGAGGTTTGCCGGCTCGCCGTATTAGTTCCTGGGGAGTTGTGCATTCACAGTTTGAGCTCAGTGGTTTGTCAGAAAAGTTGAGTTAATTTGTTAGACTTTGATCTTCTGGTTGTGGGACTTAGGTAAACATTAGGGCTGATGGTTCCAACTTTTTCTCTGTTGACAGATTACTCAGAATTCTGAGTCTTGAGAAGCCCCTGTCATGGATGTATCTATGTACATTTACATACTTGGTTGGGTATTTCAGAGGTAGTTGCATTATGTATCATAAAGGGGTCTTCACAGTTGGGTAGATGCATGTTCTCCATTTTGTGCAGCTGCTTGATCAAGGGGCTGTGCAGACAAATGTTTAGCAGATACATTTTCAGTCTGTTGTCAGTGCCCACCTTGTCCATAAGTGACACGTTAGCCACAAATTACAGCTCTCTGTTCTGGACGCCCTACATGGTCGTGCATCTGGCTGATGCACAACTGTGGCACTCCCGCCAATAGAGTAAATGCTAGTGCTACTTTGGTGTTAAACCGTGGAATGACTCTCCTGTTCTTCAGAAAGTTGTTGATCAGCCTCAGGAAGATCCAATTGTGGTGTGGTAAGGTGGTCAACTTGTATAGGAGACCGTTGTGCCAAAGGTGGTCAAAGGCCTTTCGAATGTCTTTGATTGCTATTAGTACCATTTACTTCGGTTTGCAAATGCTGTCGGCTGCGTCATGATGTTAATAGCATGTTAAGTGAATCTTTGGGTCCTGAAGCTGAACTGCTTTTCTGTGTAGAGATGGTGGTATTCCATGTAGTAGTTTACCATATTCGATATTATTTTCTCGAGGCATTTACTTGAAGTTTCCAGCAAGGAGATCAGCCTATAGTTCTCTGGGGTGTGAAGATTCTTTCCCAGCTTGGGGGATGAAAATCATCTTCACTATCTTAAACGCTGGGACAAAGTGCCCTGTTGCCAATATGGCATTGGAGATGTTGAGCAGCATTTGCAAGTGGCTGATGGGGAGGAGTTTGAGTTGGTTGGCTGTGGTTCCAGTTAACCCGGGCACCTATTTCCTGGTCTTCCTCAGAACATTCCTCATTTTTTCTGTCTTAACTTAGGAAGGGAGAGAGACGTGTGTGCCTGCGCTCCAGAATAAATGCATATTATTCTGAGTTTTATAGGGGAACACTGATCACAGACATCACCAAGTGCATAGTGACTCGTAGGAAAATAGAGTATAGTGATTAACATTTGAACTTTGTGTTAAATAGAGATTAAAAGCCACACAGGCCCACATGGGAGCAGTGCCACGAGGCCATGTTTACAAATGTTTACATAAGTATAGGTGATATATTTGGACCATAGTGAACAGTTATACAGTGAAGTGTAACACAACACGCATAAAAGTTGGAATGTAGAAAAATTGCCATGTGAAAAAGTGGAAATGTATAAGAGAGTACCAAAATATGGCAACACCCTTGAATGTGTATAGACTAGCCACGTGGTGAACAGGGTTAGAGTCATCCTCAGTGAGAATATACTGTGAATTTATACTGTAATACGGGAATGTCAATCTAGAAATAAATAGAGCAAGCCAGAAATAAGCCGAAAATGCCTTATGGTAGTTGATACAGCCAGTAAGTTATTAATGGTTTAAGCACAAAGAAATGGTAACAGGACACATCCAGCCAGAGACCTGGGGGAAGGTTATGGTCAACAACAGTTGACTTGGAGTACCTCCTCTACATATGATAAGTACCTGCACATAAGGGTTAAGCTTATAAATTTAAATATATACATATACTGTAATATTATAAATAATAAAATATTGAGGACAGTGTACTAAATACTAAAATATTAAGATCATTAAATATGAAATTGGCACCTCCACACTGGTGGTGACAGTGACCCAGAGATCATCCTGGGAGTGTAGACACCCACTCAACTCCAGGTATATATTTCAGTATACCCTGAAATATGCAGCTAGGTAATGTTTGAGATAAAGAGAAAAACAAACTGGTCTTACATACTGAGTATTAAAATACTACACAATTGCAAGATTAGATAAGAACAAGAGCTTGACATTCATGCAAAATATTAAAGACTGGCCACTATGAGATAGCCCCATTATAAGTACAGACAAACAACAGCAAACAGGGCCAAATGGCAGTAAACAAACTAATTTGAGGTCACTGCAACAAAACTTTGAAGACAAAGACAACGGGAATTGAATGTTATATATGTAAGAATTTATTTCATTCGGCTTGTACAGAAGTGAGCAACACTACCGCCCTGAAAACTGGCCATTTACTCTGGGTATGCAACAATGATTTGCCAACTTGGAATATACTAAAAAAAAAAAAATTCTAGATACTATGACACATAACCGAAAAAACCAGCGTTGAATGTAATGAAATGCCATTTTCTGGGTGAGTCCCTATGGCTCCCTGGAGCTATGCAGGCTGATAGGGATAGTCCTAACTTTTGGCATCAGTTGATGCGGGTGGAGTTCTAGGCCTACCTAGAACCTCCGGGAGTCTCCGGGACTCACCCAGAAAATGGCATTTCATTACATTCAACGCTGGTTTTCAGGGTGGAGCCCCTAAGGCTCCCCAGAGCTACTTCACCAAGGACTAAAGCAAAGAAGGGGTCTTACCCGAGAGGCAGTCGGTGCTCCACATTTCATCTTGAAGTCAAGAGGCTGCAGCCGCTGACCCAAAGCGACACATGCCTGACTAAGCCCAGGAACATTACCGAGGTAGCGTGCAGCCAGGACCCCGTTCGACCTCTGAAAACCCTGTGACCGAATGTCAGCCCAGGACATGTTACAAAGACGACAGCAAGAGCAGCAAACTTACAAACGTCATGGGCATGGGAATAGACCGGAGGCTGGCTTGACTTAATAACCCTGCGGACGATCTGAGAGACCCGTACCTGCGAACAGGGAAGAAGGGAAACCGGATCAACCCAAAACGCATCCCCGGACACAGAAGCCGTGGCATGCAAATAATGGCAGAAGGCCACAACCAGACACAACACATGATGCACCCCTAGCCTGACCAACCAAGCATCAACAACCCAAGGACCCCTCCGGAAAGCAGCAGTCTCATTCTTCTCCAGAAAAGAAGGAGACGGCTGCAAACGAATAAATCTATCAGGAGAACCAAAAGAGCAGAAACCCCTGTGCCGGAGGAAAGCATGAAGCTCCCCGACCCAACCCCCAAGAGGCAATGTCAACAGGAAAAAACCAGCGTTGAATGTAATGAAACGCCATTTTCTGGGTGAGCCCCGGAGGCTCCCTGGAGCTTATCGGGCTAATGTATGTTATGTTAGACCGGGACATTAGCTAAGGAGTTCAGACCTACCAGGGACCAGCGCCAGAACCTGGCCCCTTCAGAGAGGTTTCAGGGAGCAATGGCCCTGGAAAACCCCATATGGTTGGGGGTTTTCCTTATCTGTCATCGACCGGGGTTAGGCACCCAGAAAGGTAGGCGTAACAAAACAAACCCCACATGGTAAGAAACTACAACAAAAACCGAACAGAGAGGTAGAAAACTCCCTACAATCCCAAGGAAACTAGCAAACAAGCAAACATCACACTTTACTGCCGCGCCGATCGTCTGCGCAGCCCTCCCCACCCCGAGAGGGGAAGGGGGGAGCCCCGGACCTACCGCGCCGGCTGCCAAGCTCCAGTTCGGAAGCTAAGCTTCAACCAATGCGAAAAAACCGCCGACCGGTGGGAGGGAGAGTTTCCAGGG